GTGTTGTGTTCTGTGTTGTGTTCTATGTTGTGTTCTGTGTTGTGTTCTATGTTGTGTTCTGTGTTGTGTTCTATGTTGTGTTCTATGTTGTGTTTTGTGTTGTGTTCTGTGTTGTGTTCTATTGTGTTGTGTTCTATGTTGTGTTTTGTGTTGTGTTCTGTTTTGTGTTCTGTGTTGTGTTCTGTGTTGTGTTCTGTGTTGTGTTCTATGTTGTGTTTTGTGTTGTGTTCTGTGTTGTGTTCTGTGTTGTGTTTTGTGTTGTGTTCTATGTTGTGTTCTGTGTTGTGTTCTGTGTTTTGTTCTATGTGGTGTTCTATGTTGTGTTTTGTAGACTGTTGTTTGGTCGTCTTTCGGTTTTATTTTTCCTTGTCATTGTCAGTTCGTTTTCGAAACAAACACAAACAATTTTATAACATAACCCCATTAACTATCATATTTTTGTAAACTTGGAATATATCATGGCCCTGAAGTATCACGTCCCACAACGAAATGCATTGGTCCTTTGCTAATGTAATGTGGGTTGGGGTGTATTACCTTAACCTGCTCTGTACTTTTTTTTAACTTGATTTTTATTTTCCTACTTTCATCCCGGTCGACACACTTTGTGTATCATTTTTGGAAAATCATTGAATTTTAAAACATACAGAAACTTTTTCCTGGAAATGATTTGAATTAGCCATATTTTGAGAGAAAAAAAATTAAGTTGAGAGTAAAAAACAACAACATTGGAAACAAACGTTCATAAAAGAATTAATTGAAACCACAAAAACAATTTGAAATACTGAGGATTTTCTTCCTCAGGAAAAGATTACCTCAGCTGTATTTTACAAAACCTTTCGGAATGTTGATTCCTCCATGCTCACGATCATCGTCCTTTATTTGGCTTTTTTAACTTTTTTGATTCGAGCGCCACTGATTAGTCTTTAACATACGAAAAGCGCGTCTAGTGTACACAATTCTAATCCTGGTATCTATATATAATGTTTGAAATACACTATTTGATGAATTCAGTCTGAAACGGTGATTTTGACATTTTTACCATACATAAAATCTAAACGTAAAGAGTCATATGGCTTATATGAATCCAAGCTATTATTCCAATGTCAACCTCCGAGTCGAGTTTGGGGGTTGTTGCCGACCGCTTGTGAGATGAGTCGTAGATTATATTTCCTGCAGGAAAAATCGTCAGAAGAGAAATAACTCTATTTGAATACATTAAACAGGAGAGTGCGGGGCGATTTTAATTTCTAATTGTACATAAGTATAAATAAGTAGATCCCTAGGTGGGTCAAACGAAATAATTTAATACAAATATTAACTGCCTCTTCGCAAAACACGTGGTATTTAGGATTGAGAGCCAAAATGTCAACATGTCATCAGAGTCTTTGAACGTAACTACGTAAAATGGACCATATTGGTAAACTATTCCCTCTTCTAGAAGTATTGTTACCCGTTACATAGTTCACACGTCTGCAATTTTATCCACATTTCCTCTAACATCAGTGATCAGCTTTCGTTGAAATCTAATGACAATTTGGTATTACAACTACCTGACTAACTTAAGAATGTCTTTACTCCAAACGATTGAAACGTTTTTCATAGCAAATCAAATTATTTGAAATTTCCGATGTTAAACTAAGACTTTGCCATAGTAAATAAGGGAGATTCACACACAAAAAAAAACAAAGTACGTTTAACGGATGTCGCGAACCACTCATTTGTTTTAATAAAATAAGCTTCCAGTAAGTTTTAATTCTGCAACCATGACATAAAATCCGACGTCTACTCTGATATATTTATACGTTCTGCGCATTTCTCTTGGATGGTTATCATGCGTAGAATATCCACTTAATAATTTAGGTTTTTCATCTGTTGTAGGAAACAAACGTGTTACGTTCTTGGACAATTACAAAAAAAAAAAAGAAAAAAAACAGGCGTCGTTATCTTACACCTGTGTATTAAATCCGCAAGTTCCTCTTTCACATGACTAGTTTCGATGGTTGTTTATGCCGTATAGAAATTAACATGTAACAGTACTTTCAAGCTTATATAATTTCGATGACACTTAATATGTCCGGTTGGATTCACAGTTTTTATATCTCATCACTATAACATTAATGTAGCTATGTAGCTATGTATTACTATTTTTTTTTTTGGAAATATTAATTAGACGTGTAAGTATTTTTTACCATTTAAAGAGGGATAACTCTATTTGAACAACATATATTTCCTATCGTGACTATTTGGCCGAGCGTGGCTTCGAATGATTGGTGTTTTATGTAAAGAAAGAATGAGACAATTAGCCTGTCGACATTCCCGATTTCAAATTCATGCGAGTCCCTTAGTTATTGTAGCTTATCTATTAAAAAAGGATTACGAGAATTGATAATCTCATTTGATACAATAGGGAAAGCTCTAAATTACCTCTTTGCGAAAAATAACTAAGAATTAATTTAACAGAGACGACAAATAAAACAACAAATATCCTAACAGCAAACAAAGTAAGACAAGGGAACGCAGGTTCTAAAAATATGTGAAATGAAGTTTATATCTGAAAAAAAATGTGTGAAAAAAAATTCCTACCGAGAACGACTGAAATCGACAATGTTTATGTAAGAGTTGAATTTATGTCCAGTTTCAAATCTGTTTCTTTCCTCAGATCTGTGTACTGTGAATTCATGACACTCAAATATGTGTCCTTTCCTTATGTGTTCTTTCCTTAGATATGTGTCCCGTGACGTCTTGAAATTCAAATCTGTTGCCCTTTGTTTATTCAAAAGCGTGTCCTTTTGACCAGGTAGATTTTCGGTATTGTGACGTGACTTTGGATAACCATATGTGGTGGGTTAGATATGTCAACTCACACTTAACATTGGACCGTGGTGCAACAACACAATAACAGAACAAACTGTAAACGTCAGTTGAAAACGGCTTGGCTCATCATATCAAATCAATGCACAAAAATCAACTAATAAAAACGCAAAAAGACAAAAAAACAAAGTACCGATATAAGAGTACTCAAATCTATTTGAAGGATTGGCCATTAAACATCAACGCAATGACGTCATATCCTCGATAATTCTAAACTCAACACATTGGATAAGACACGACTTGTTTAAAAGAACACACGTCAGATTTGAGAAAAAAGGACATAGATGTGTGACGTCTATGACGTAATATAGGATAGTACACAGATCTCATGAGGGAAACATATCTGAGGCTGAACATATATTTGACTCTTCCACAATTTTCTATATAAGGAAATGCCTTTCCAAGTAAGGAATATGACAGTTGTTTTCCTTAGTTAGATATGTTAGAGCTTTTTATTTTGCCATTTGATAAGGGACTTTCCGTTTGGAATTTTCCTTGGAGTTTTTTGTTATTTTACTTTTTACATATACAAAAGATGTACGATCACAATCATTAATTGGTTAACCGGTAAGCTGTATCATTGTCTAAAATAACGAGAAACATTTTGTTGGCGGTATTTGACCTTTAGATAACAAATAGTTGCAAATTCTCCTATTGAATTTTCATCGTTTTTCATATTTTCCCATGATTTTGTCGGGTTTTCTTCGACTTATGTTACTAATTGTTCCTTTTGGTGTCTTCTGCCTCTTTTAAGGTTGATATAAATTATAGATATTTGAATGGTTAATTTTTGTAGAAGGAATACAGGTTGCACTTTCCCATAGAAACTCTCTTTACGGCTAAAACTGTGCCGCTTCTACTATGTAGTTTCGTAAAAAATTATATCCTAGAATAGAAAGTTGATATGCACTACTATCTAATCAAAGGTCAAAACATAGGGCTGTGCGGCATATTTCAACATTTTAATGCCCCGAACTTCTAAGAGTTTAAACTTATACTAAAAATTCTGTACTACCCCTCTCTTCACTTTGGGTCTTCATCGGAATTCAATTTCGCCGATATCCATGTGTATTTATACTGGTAACATTGCCAAGTTATGTCTCTATGAGATGAAACATAGAGATCATATCTCAGAACCAGCACGTAAACAAAACAAAATATCTATGAATATAATATATCTCCCCAAGAGGCGTGGTTTGTGAAACAGCTGTATTTACAAAGTGCACCTACACGGAGATATGGAGGTAAGTCAACAACCACCAACCAACATATATATATATACGTACTGTAAACCAACTTATTTTCGCGGATACTTTATTACGCGTTTAACCCTTTCCAGTTGACTTGGCGGCTATTTATTTTTCGCGATTTTCCTACTTTCTTGATGTTTCAATATAAGAGAAAACATAAGTTTTATATATCAATGACGATTTATATTCGCCTTATTTTTCAATTCGCGAAAGTCTCGAAAATAAATCGCTTGCGAAAATTAGTTGGTTTACAGTATACGTATATACATATATGAGGTGTTGCCATTATATTGAGAGGGAAAAGTACATGTTCCAACCCTTAATTGTGAGGAGTTAAGAATCAGATCTACTCTAACATTGTTAGGTTGATCAACTAGGCACATATATAATACTTCAGCGGCTTTTTTCACAAAAAATCTTAAGAGTAAAAATACTCGTAAGTCATACACATTTCAGTATAACTTACGATCAATTTTAATCGTAAGATTTTTTGTGAAAAGAGTCGCTGATGCCTAGTATTCCTAATTAAAGTAAATCCAAAGGACAAGGTCTAATTTGCAATTGTCACTACAAATAGGCAGACATATATGAACATGAATACATAGTGACTGTATTCTAAAAATATTATTATGTAGTTATACTATAGATAATATATACTGTACACTTAGAATACTTCATGAATTGTGTTTAGTACAAAGAAAACAAAGACTGAGCAAAAATGGACCCTACAAAACTGGGGGTGATCTCCGGTACTTAAAAGTAATTTAAGAATTAAGATTATGAATCTGATAGCATTAATCGTTACATTGTTTAGACTTTGCCGATACAGATATCCATATAGGTTGTTGAAGGTCAATATTGTAACAACGAACCAAAAGACAATTTTTCAGAACTTATTGTTTTTTTAACATTGGTGTTATTACCCGATATGACCTTGTCGATAGTGAAGTGTTCAGGTTTACTTAAAATTATGCAACATATGTGTAAGCTTCCTATGATAGAATATCAAACAATCTATGTCTGTAAACCTCCTCCAAGTTGTGATCAGATTTCAAAAGCTCTGATTCATCTGGAACTACTAGTCTATGTAATTCCTTCTCATAATGTATGAATTTTTCGTTTTGTTTGAGACGATCTTGAATAGGTGGTTCTTTCGAGTTATCTGCTGTTTCTGTCTGTTTGATAATAACGTTTTTATTCAGAACCAACTTTTCGATATGATCACGTTTGTCTGCTTCTTGTGAATATTCTCCCGGTGACTCCTTTAGTTTTAACATTGCACGGTGTATTTTCGTACAATGCTTGAACATATTTTCCCTTTCCTTTAGAAGTTCGTCTACCTTTTCAAGCAATATTGTTCTTTCCATGTCTGTAATGCGTCCTTGAAATAAGTTCCTTTCCGATATCATATAACTCTCTAAATAATCAGATTCAAGAGCTTTTTTTAGAAATATTATTGTATCTATTAATCTATCAATTAAAGAGGCATGTGAAAAATGTTGGCTAGGGTTTGTTTCTATTTCCCAGAAAACTATGTTTTTCATTATGTAAGACGACATTGCTGGGCACAGAGGTTTTAGAACTGACTTGGCCATGAGCTTAAGAAGCATATATAGCTTTGCTTGAGATTCTGTGAAAGAATATACGAGCATGATCTCAGCTTTTGTATAGCAAATCCTCCATTCAGTTAGCGGATACATGCTACCTTTATCGGAAACTGCAACTATATGTCCTTCTAATGAAGAAATTTGATGAACAAGATTATGGTCAGGCCAGTCATATTTCCTCTCCCGTTGTATCCATTTTTCTATTAAATCTGGACAAATGCAAACCATCCCCACAACAAAATCATAATTAATGAAATCATTTCCGTAGCGTTCTGCTGGACCAATTCTATCTTGTTTGGTTATTATCGTTCCATTGACATCAAACATTGGATCTGTTGTATTTGGATTGCCAATAGAAAAATCATTCATAACATATCCGTTCTCTAATTTAAGTTGGTTTTGTTCCAAGGAAGAATTCGCTTGTACGATTTTCAGTCTAGCATAACCCGGGGAACAATTCAATCTATCGATATGAAAAACAGTGTGACTGGAACACGATAGGCTAGGATTAACACAGGTCATTCCTTTTAGAATGAAAAGGCGGTCTATATCACTTTCAAAATAAAGAGCTGTTCCTTCGGCTTTACCACCAGAGGTTATAACAGGGATGGGGTATGTGATATTATGTATGTCGTCCAACTGTGTATTCTTCTCTCTACGGAAGTCAATCATTTCTTGATTGTATCCTAGTAGATCTAAGCATTTTGACAAACGTTTGCAAAATTCCATTTTAATCAATAATTTGCTGTCCATTACATCATATGAAGTACCTTAACTTTAATTTTAACATTATCACAGAACTGTATACATAAACCCGTGTTATTAGTAGCCATCATTACTTTGTCTAGTCATTTACCACCTGAAAAAGAAACGATATGTGGTATAAAGGCCAATTAGACAGTAACGGATTTATACAAAAATACTAGAGACATCTAAAGACCATTGGCTAGGAATAGAACTGACTTCCGTAGCCAGTTTTTAAAGAATCATTAACTGTCAAATTCATGTTCACCGATTCGACTCAAAATCTCATATTTTATTTATAACATACTAAACGTCTATCCAAATTAAAAAAAAGTCCTTAATTAACAATATACTAAAAAATTAAGTTTAGACATAAATAGACAAAAGAAAAAGAATAGAGAATAATAGTGTGCTAAAATATACAGTATAGAGAAAAATGAGGTAGAAAATTAAAGAATAAAGAAATGAGGGCCCCCAATCCAGACCCTCATGGTAGATGTCATCCAAATTTACAATGTTGTTTATAAAAATTAATTATTGGTATTAGAATATTGTGCTTAAGAATTTGATATTTGTGTTTCTAAAGGTTGTTAAATATGATTTTATAGAATAAATTATTTTACTTTTATTCATTGTCTCTTCATTCCAGTTATTATGTATATAATCCCTGAAAATTTCAGGGATTATACATAAACCCTAATTCTACAGATTCACTGTAACATATCAACATTTGGTGTGTATTCTAGTATAGACGCTACCTAATTTACAATCGAGATGAACGCTGAATAATGCCGTAGGATACTTGACCTGTTGCAAACATGAATATAAATACTCAGGCAAGCACGTGCGATCGTATTGTGGTAGAGTGTTTTATATCAATATTTATTTTCTTTCAGAATAATTAATATTAATTAGTAGTTTTTATTGTATGTATTTAAGAGTTCATCAATTCTTCTATTCTCTTATGCAATCTTATTTTCTTGGTATGTTATATCTTCTTAGCACTGTAGTTTTACTCTATCATCCGATTCATTAGTCAGTCAGTCATGTGTCAAGTTATCTTGTCTGCTATTGGTCATAGTCATTGAGGTTAAAGTTTTACCACACCTTTTGAATATCTTGCGAGAGACAAGCTTTATAGCATATACATACAGCAGCCATATTTGAATATTTATATTGTTCTATATTCTGGACACTTATGCAATATTTAATCAGGTCAGTTACTAATATTTAATATTTGCACTGTTTTCGCTTAGTTTGAATCTGAGAAAAAATGTTTTTTTGAATAAGTCAGAATGATTGTGCATGAATGATAGATATTTTATTTTAAAGAAGTATGTTCATGAACTCAGGGAAATAATATATCATAGATATATAAATGATTTATGTATTGGTGCAGTTATATTATTATTATAAAAGGTGCAAAGTAATGTCTTGTGAACATTATACTTATTGTTTATAAATGATACGAAGATATAATTAAGTTCATTAGACTTATGTAGGTTATATTTATATTTTGTACAGGACCAGAATATCTTGATGTTTTAATGATCTGTTGATGTTACCAAATAGGAGATAGATATAAGAAGATGTGGTATGAGTGCCAATGAGACAACATCCAAGTCACAATTTGTAAAAGTAAACCATTATAGGTCAAAGTACGGCCGTCAACACGGAGCCTTGGCTCATACCGAACAGCTAGCTATAAATGGCCCCAGAAATTATTAGTGTTAAACCATTCAAACAGGAAAACCAACGGTCTAATCTATATAAAATACGAGAAACGAGAAACACTTATGAACCACATCAACAAACGACTACCACTGAGCATCAGGTTTCTGACTTAGGACAGGTGCAAACAAATGCAGCAGGTTTAGACGTTTTAATAGGCATAGACCTATATACCAAATATTTGGTAAGATCAGTGTCTTCATTGTATTTTTAGTTTACTGTATTGTCTATGTTTGTCTATTTAATCTTAGTTCAGTATATGTACTGTTTGTGTCTTGTGAATAGTAGTTACCTGTATGTCAATAGTTACATGTAAACATTATAATAACACATAGTTCATTCATAAATCAATGAATGATTAGCGTAATATTATTGGACAGAATGAAGCACTTAATCCTGACTTGGTAAATGATTGAGTTTAATTGAATTCATACATTTCAAATATATACACTTTAATAGTATTGGTCGCGTTCAGATAGAACATATCCAGTTTATCGTATTTTATGCATATACTTTCCGTTTAATGGATTAGAGTTATATCCCATTGTATACCGTATTGTCTATGTATCAAAGGTTATGTTCTTTGTGTACTTTCAGGTTTTTGTTTTATTGATGTCGTATAAATAAACATCTATAAACTTGACGAATCATTTTATTCCGTCCAAGAACACTGTCACGTTTGGCGCCCACGTAGGTACCAAATCAATCAATGAATCATTAGCGTAATATTATTGGACAGAATGTAGTACTTAATCCTGACTTGGTATATGATTGAGTTTAATTGGATTTATACATTTCAAGTATATACACTTTATTAGTATTGGTTGTATTCAAATAGAACATTTTTATCGTATTTTATAAATGTACTTTCCGTTTAATGAATTAGAGTTTTATCCCTTTGTACACCGTATTGTCTATGTATATATTAAAGGTACTTAACATTACTTGTATTCATTTTAGGCTTTTAATTTACGTCTTATTCATTGTAGGTAATTAATACTACTTTGTATTAATATTAGGTACTTAATATATACATTTGGTACTTATTTTAGGAAATTTATCACATATTTATTTTTTTTTTATTGTAGATTATCAGCATTCATTTACTATTTCTTGTAGGATACTCATATTTTCTTTATCTATTTCAGAAAATTTTGTTTTATATTGTAGGTGCTAATATTTGTTATATTTCTTGTAGATTTAGAAAAGAGGGACGAAAGATACCAGAGGGACAGTCAAACTCATAGATCGAAAAAAAACTGACAACGCCATGGCCAAAAATAAAAAGACAAACAGACAAATAATAGTACAGATGACACAACATAGAAAACTAAAGACTAAGCAACACGAATCCCACCAAAAACTGGGGGTGATCTCGGGTGCTCCGGAAGGGTAAGCAGATCCTGCTCCACATGTGGCACCCGTCGTGTTGCTTATATTATTACAAATCCGGTAAATAGTCTAATTCGGTAGGTCACATTCGTGAAAAGGGAAGGGAATTGTGGTTACGACATAAGGAACATATCCGATATCATCTGTGAAACGGTTACTCCATAACGGGCAACCAACTCGTGATGGCGTCCGTAAAATTTACGAAGGGATGATTTCAACTTCACCATTTGGAACTCTTGGTATAATAGCTTCATTGTGAGCAGCAATCCTCTATCAAGGAAAATATGATAGGAAATACAAGCCCGGGAATATCGTATCAATTGGGAGATATATACTCCGTATGCAGGCGCTGCTGGAATGTTGCTACATAGAAATGGAAAGTTCATAATTGGGAAGCTGAAATCATCTCTTTTGTCGTAATGTTTTGTTTTTAAATGACCCTCATTGTCAATTTCTAGATGTAAGTCAAGATATGAGGCAGACTTAACTGTATCTGTAGTATCCTTTATCTCTAGTTCGATGGGATAGATTCGTTCAACATAGTCACCAAATTTTGTATTATTTAGTGAGAGAACATCATCTATATAACGGAACGTAAAGTTAAAGGATATTGCTAACTTCTTATCTTTCTTCCTAAGAAGTTCCTGTATGAAGTCAGCCTCATAATAATGAAGAAACAAGTCGGCAAGAAGAGGGGCACAATTGGTTCCCATTGGAATTCCGACAGTCTGTTGAAAAACACGTCCTCCAAACGTAACAAATATGTTGTCAATCAAGAAATCAAGCATCTTGATAATGTCAGTTTCAGAGAATTTTTTGTTTGAATCAGAGTGATTCTTTACAAAGTAGGATTTATCCCTACTCAAGACAAGATATTTGTATCTACGTTCGCCATTCTTTTTAATGAAACAAAGTAATACCAACTCTTTCAATTTGTCTTTTAGTTTGGAATGGGGAATACTTGTGTAAAGTTTAGAAAAGTCAAATGTTTAATACTATTTTTTTTAGGATATCTCTATTATAGATTCATTTATAGTTTGACATCATGTCCGATTCAGAAGAATATCAACAGCTTGTCGACACCTTGAAGCAAATGGAGATAAAACCAAAGGCGGATACACCAGAGGCATTTAAACAGTGGATTTGAGGCTTACGCATACAATTGATAATTATTTGGCACAACTTTTTGGAATTTTGGGACCTCAATGCTCTTCAATGTTTTACTTGTTTTTGGCTTTCTAACTATTTCGATCTGAGCGTCACTAATGAGTCTTATGTAGACGAAACGCGCGTCTGGCGTATCAAATTATAAGCCTGGTACCTTTGATAACTATTTACACCACTGGGTCGATGCCACTGCTGGTGGACGTTTCGTCCCCGAGGGTATCACCAGCCCAGTAGTCAGTACTTCGATGTTGACATGAATATCATTTATATGGTCATTTTTATAAATTTACTGTTTGCAAAAGTATGAATTATTCGAAATACTAAGGATTTTCTTATCCAAGGCATAGATTACCTTAGTCGTATTTGGCACAACTTTTTGGAATTTTGGGTCCTCAATGCTCTTCAACTTTTTACTTGTTTTGGCTTTCTAACTATTTCGATCTGAGCGTCACTGATGAGTCTTATGTAGACGAAACGCGCGTCTGGCGTATCAAATTATAAGCCTGGTACCTTTGATAACTATTTACGTATAGACTTGAGGGGGTTGAGAAAGAGCATAATCCTGATGAACTACCAAAGGTGAAAGCAACATCAAAGCAGGCCATTGATAATGAGAAAGGCGAAATCTGAACTTGCTGCAACACTAAAGCAAATCAACACACACCTTGAACATCTAGAATCTGGACAACAATATAAGCACCAAGATCAAACAAAACATCAATAAGACACACAACCACAGCCGTACCAACAGACATTTGGTCAAATATAAAAAAAGAAGATGTGGTATGATTGCCAATGAGACAAATCTCCACAAGAGACCAAATG